ATAGCTTCATCAGAGTTACTCTATTTTTGACCCCTATAAAAATATGTCGTTTGTGGGAGGCTCTTCTTCGAATTGTGTTGACCGAATCTGGAGTCTAGAGATGGATTAGCGTAAGTATCGACGGAAGAGTTATGCAAGAGTATTACGCAAACCATTACAAGTCCCAGATTACCATCAATGCTTTTTTATAATCAATTTTTTGTACGAAGGTTTCTGTAATTCAATCAATCAATCAGTTTATTAGCTTATTATCAATACAATAGATTTAGCATCGTCATGGTAGGTAAATGTAGTACAAAACATACACATTTGAAGGCAAAGCATTAAAACTTACAGTTGAAAAATTCACTCACGTCATAAGGCAGAGATCAACCAGCAGCCCTTTCATACTTTTTTTGAATTTAATCATATGTAATTTCCTCATATATGGTGGTAGATGGTAGATGGTTATCGCCATAGTAAAAAAGCTTTTATGAGTAATTGTCAGTCGATGTTGTGGCATAAGAAGATTGTGGCCATTTCTGGTCAAATATTCATGGTTGCGATTAACTTAAGGGGTGTAATTTTGTGTCTTGATATAGACAAGCTACTCAAATATGTATAGAGCCGTAATGGTTAACATATTGAATTTTTTAAATAGAGGTCTACAGCAGTAAGTTCGTTTTGCTCTTCCCAGGACTCAAATAGCCGTTGTTTGTAAAATGAATATCCTTTCCCAATCAGTTGAAAGTCCCCAAAAATAACCAATCCGTATGACAGCTTAGACATAAATAACCCTATGTACCTACGTAAGCTACTCGCAAATCATAAGAGGGAACAGAATCATTGATCCTACGAAGCAGGAAAAAACTGCTGAACAGCTTAGTAGAGAGATCTTTGATGTGTTCTTTCCAATTAAGTGTTTGATCCAGCGTTACCCCCAAAAACTTAACGGATTTTTGACTGTCCTTCGGTTCTTTTAGTGTGAACGTAATTGTTTCAGTTTTCTTGACATTCAAGCATAACTTATCGGCTGCAAAAAAAATTTCAATTTTTTCAACGCGTTGTCAGTTAATTGTTTTGGATATTCATGTTCTGGGTGATTCTCATAAACAGTAGTATCATCGGCAGACTGATTCGTGTTGAGGGGGGTTCATATGGTGTGGAATAGTAGGGGTCTCAATATTGACCCTTGAGGCACACCAGCTGTTATACTCACTGCTGAAGATCTCACACTACTTTGTTCTACAATTTGCTTTCGTTTGGATAAGTGCCAACTCAGGGTGCGTTTACAATTTCTGGACTCACATTTTGAAGAAGACTGTGTGATAGTGGTTGTTGTTAATGATACCGAGGAGGATCGGTCATAGCCAGGCGGTTCGACGTGGGGTTCACTCACTCGAATTGACTGCCGTGTTGGTCGGTGGTTCAAGCCCTAGTTTGAACGATCGATTTTCCAACCCGTGTTAGGAATAACACGTTAAAAGGCAAGAACTCGTTAATCCTTAGCTCGCACAAGTTTCGACTTCTGAGGGTTGTCGTTCGTAGGGGTGCGACAGCTGATTAACGGAAAAACATATTTTAAACAGAGAGTCTTTGATTGCATCGTACCTGACCAACAGAACGTTTGAAGGTCACTATTGGTAGTATAATTGTATGTGCCCTTATTGTAGCGAATGCACGGAATTCTTCAGTGAATGAGATGTGGCCTTAGTTGAGTTCGCCATACTGATAATAATCTGCTTAGAGAATAATTGTTACCTTTATAAACACAGGTGTGGTTTTCAAACGGATCGGTGGCTCCAATAATTAAATGGAGTGTGTTTGAGTAATATTCTACAGAGAAATCTTCACTGAATAGTTTACAAAAACACGACACGTATTTGAATACACAATAACATCTTTAGCTGTAGTGAAACACGTATGAAAGTACATGAAGAAGCTATTACATAGTGGATTACGGATTCTCATCAAGTATCCAATTCTAAAACATGGTTTTCATTGTGTTTCTCTTCACTGTGTTCGGAATCACATTCTTAGAGTTGAGCCTCTTTCCGAGGGTTGCTCGCAAGTAAAAAAGGCAGTTGTGTTTGTATGAACAGCAAAAATAAAGATAACTTACTAAACGCTCAATGCCGTTACTTGATGAAGTAAACTACAACTCACGATTTGATCTACACAAACTTTATTTGAAAAATATATCACGACATGTTTCGCTAACACAGTAGCTTCTTCAACAGTGATTTGAATATTATAAGTTGCTTATAATACGCTAATATTTATATACCACAGGTAACTACGATTGGAACTACCTCCATTAAATTAGGTAAACCTCTACAATTCTCATATACCTGAGGTAGCTCTTCAATTATGATTACCTGAAGCATATTACCTCAGTTGTATATCAATAATAATACTTCCTCAGTTTTTTAAGAAAACAAGTTCAGTAATGGCGATCTATTCAAATCCAGTTGGTCATTCATTAGAATGTTTGAATTTTTATGTTTCTTAATTTCCATTGCTTCCAAATAATTCAGTTTCAAACCTTCATTTTCTCTGTGTAAGATATGATTTTCTTCTGAAAGATGATTTGAATATGTTGACTTGTTTTCTCATTTACATGGCTCATATTATGTTCTTGGATTCGATTCCTAAATGTTCTTCCAGTTTGACTAATATATTGTAGGTTATGAAATAATGACTATTTGGAAAAATGTTTGTGATTCTACCAATAAGTTTAGATTGAGATATTGAGATTTCTGAGTATCGTATATGAATTGTTGGTAAACTAGAACTGAGGAATGAAAAAAAATTTCACGTACCTGAAACCTCAATTCGTTAATGGGTGGTTTGGCATATCGAATATTCCTAAAAGCATATATGGTTTTTCCCAATCGGGATCTTAATGAACTTGTTCCCTTTATTTTCCCTAATGAAGTTGAAACAATTGGGGTTTCAATTGAGTGGCATTGAACTTCAAGAATTGATGTTAAACAACACAAAAACAATATAAAAACCAAATACATCTCTGCACCGTACTGTACAAGGTAACAGAATGGCAATGAATACTCGAAGATAGTCGATATATATCAGGTTATTGTTTGTTTCAGCAGAACTCCACTTTAAATTCAATGAGCGGTGAAAATTATGATGGTAATTTGTTACTTTTCGGAATTGATTAGATAACATTTCTGTTTGGTTATTCCAAATTGTTTGTGAATGACTCTCATAATCACACTTTTCTTGACCTCGCTGGATTCTCGATTTGACCTTTTTTTATGAATTTCAAGAAAAGTGAATCAATAATTTTGAATGATAAGCCAGTATTTGGATTGAAATGCTATGGAATTCGATTGATTTTTCCACTCTAACAGAATAAAAATTACCACAAATACATACATACATACATACAATGTAGTTCGTATTACTTGAATCAATTCATGTCATTCATTAGAAGACATAATTCTCAAGATTGGCAAAAAAACTGATGATTCAGTGACGTTCAGGACTCAGATATCGTCAAATTGTTATAGTTATCAGAATTAAAATATCTATTGGAAAAGAAAGGTTTTCGACTTTCTTTCTCCACCTTGATACAAAAAATGTAGAAATCTTCCAAGGAAAGGAAGGAAGCAATCAGTCGAAAAAAACTCTATACTTCCTTTCTACCTTCTTTGCCCTCTATGGATGATACCCATATTTTATGTATCCCACATTTCACTAGCCACTTGTGCTGGCGAAATGTTAGGATGCAGTTCCAAACTACGCAATATTTTCAAATTCATAATTCAGCAAAGCATCATCTCATCAAAGACTCACAAGAAACTCAAAACTTACAGTAAGTTGAAATGGCATAAAACGAACCAAATGACACAATCACTTTTTATGGAATTGTAAGAAGAGAATAGTTCAAAAAATAATATGACCTCACTCTGAATATTTTCAAATTCATAAATGAGCAAAACATCATCTCATCCAAGATTAACAAGGAACTTAACCCTTTGTTGACAGCTATAAGAAAGTATTGAAAAAAAAAATTTTTTGTGATACATCTGTATTTAGGATGAAAATTGGCATAGACAAATTTTTTGAAATTTTTCGAACAAATATTTTTTTTTGAAAAATTTGTGGTAACTCTGAGTACCGTTGGGTTATATTCGAACAAAAAAATATGAAAAGTCAAAAATTTCAGAATACACTCAAGCTCATTTGTGGAAACAAATACATTTTAATTTTTTTTGGAACTATAAAATCTATTTAATATCGACTTCATGGTACTCTACAAAGCATTTTCTTTTTTCAAAACGGCATAAAAAATATTACATGTCATACATTTTGAATGAGGTCGGGACTGTATTTGTTTCATACTACAAACTTCACAACGACCTCTCTGAAGTACATATTCGTACTTATTATTGACTCCATTTTGAATTTCACATGAAGATCTTTTGTTTCTTTTTCCACTTGTTGGGCACGATTTTTTAGTGATCATTCCCAAAGCTACCCCTCTTCTGAATTCCAATAAAATAATTTCATCAAAAACACTACAAAATGATACATATGCATTCACAAATGCCACGTCTATGAGACCCTAAAATATTTTGTGCCACCATTTTTTGGATCTTCGGTTCAACCCAAAATACATTCTGAGCTGATCAGCTTTGTCAACTCCGCCCATATGTATATTTGTTGTAATCGGCCACGATGGTGGGACATGGTATTTCTATTGAGGTTCCATTTTTCTGCTTCCTTTTTACTACGGTTGTTTCATTTTCATGAAAATTACTTGCCAGGTTGACAACTCTGTTGTCGCGCCATCTGAGGAATCCAATTTCTGCTGAACTGAATCGGTAGTCGAATTCTCCACGATTCAGATTCTTGTCGTTGGTTAGGTTTTTCGGAGTTCCTTTTCTATTACATCTAATCGTTCCACACGAATAAGTTTTTTCAACTTTCAACTTCTTTAAAAGAGGCATGGAAGTAAAAAAAAACAGTAATGCGGTTGGTCCCCAAATAATTCTTCAAAGTTTCAAGACAACTTTTTCTCCCAATACCCAGTCAGTCAATTCAGGTTCATTGTCATTGCCTTCCTCCTTCCCTTGGTATATGTCGAAATGTAAAATATAACCTTTTTGGTCAGCACAACACCAAATTTCATATCCACGTTTGATTGGCTTCATTGGGTTATACTGTTTTATAGAACTTCTACCTTTGAAGGTTATCATGGATTCATCTATGGTAAGATGTCTGGTTGCTTTCGAGAAAGCTCTGAAAGTCTCATTCAATGAGTCAATCATTGGTTTCAATTTATAGAGTTTGTCTTTATTACTTACGGGAATTTTAGGATTATCATTTATGTGTAAGTTGGAAAGTATGTTATCGAATATCTGTCTACTTATTGTATTCGACACTAGAGGCACTCCTAAATCTGAGCTTCCTGACCAGTAGTGCCTCCACGATGGTAAAACATGATAACCCATCAGTAGATTTGTTCCTATGGAATCAAGTAATTCTTCTTTTTTAAAGTTCAGATTTCTGTCCCGTTGCACAGCGTGAAGATTACTTTGGTACACCAAATTTTCAAGCTGAGGTTCGATGAACTTCAAAAACACGTCTGTGGGTTTGAGACAATCATTAAAAACATCGGTATTGGGACCCTCGTTACACTTATATTCTGGAATAGTCATTTTACAATCTCTCTTCCTTCATTTTTGGTCTACTCCAATATCCATTTTCTTCTTTTTTTTCCAGTCTTCCTTACATGGCCAGTTTCATCTTTTCTTTCATTCTCAGGCTGCACCTCTTCTATATCCAGAGAATGATCCGTAGGGTTCTCATCAATCTGCCCAATATTTTCAAGAGGAGCGGTTTTATCTTTAAGATGATCGTTTTTCTCATCTTCCTTATTCGTTTGGAACTTGTTATCCAACTCGATATCACATGCTATATTATCTTTTATGCGCTGAGCCTCATCTAATAATTCCTCTTCAGTCAAAGCCTGCTTCCAGTACCAACTATGATATTGTTTATCCATGACCAGCTGAAATAAAAAACATAATAAGGGGCAAATCAGTAACCATTTTGAAATAATTCCGAAACTGCAATTCATTCCTAACCTAACCTAACAGCCCGAAGGTACTTATAAGAATCACCAATTCAGACTAACCTAGCGCATGCATAAAGTTTTTATTGATTTATACATTTATGTTTTCGTCAATAGAAAGTATCAATGAACATAATAATAACCTAATTACACTCACCTATTGAATACTATCTCTTCAGTTACCACTGCAATTAATCACCCGGTTTGAACTACACATAGCTCTGACACGCACTACTAAAGTACATAAAAACGAGAATAATGCGCCCTCTCACTAGTCGAAATATGAATTACTGTAGAAATAACTCGGTACCTCAACTTACCAATAGACGCTTCTCTGGCCCATTGAATATATTTGGTTTTTATGACCGCTTGAAGTATGTGGTACCTCTGAGTACTGAGGTCGACAAAGGGTTTTAAAGCTTACAGAAAGTTGAAATTGAATAAAACGAACAAAATGACACAATCACTTTTTATGGATATGTAAGGAAAGAATAGTTCAAAAAATGGCATGACCTCATTCTAAATCCAATTGTGTGGAACACCCGCTCGATCATCTTCGGTTGAGATGGGATGGAGCCTAGCTCCCGTACCCTTTCAGGTGGCTGTGGACCACCCGAGTTGGCGGATTCGTTATGCTTGAGCACTTCCTTGTTATGGATATCAATTGGAAGGAATTGCTGAAAAGAAAAAAATTGAATGACTTCACTTTGAATCCAATATGGCAAACGACCCAATATGGGGAATTAGGTTTTTTGTGCACACCCGTAACATCGGTATCGAATGAAAAGGTAGAAGAAAAAAAAGTCAATGAAAATTGAATATTGCGGAATTCCAAAGATGATGGACTATGTTCTCTAGTGCACTCTTATGATGAAGATATCAAATGAAAAGTTTCAAAAGAAAAACAAGAAATCTCGGAAAAAGGATGTCTGCTACAACAATTTTGCAAAGTTATAGTACGGCAAAGGTTAGGAATAGTTTGGCAGTGCTTGAACAAATGTAGGAATCGGACATGCCACAATGACGCATTAAATGAAATGAATAGACTGAAAAGTATATCCAGCGAAATTTAGGTAACCCAATCTTTCTAAGCATTGTTTTCATTGATATTGTTAATTAGAGGATAGGAACTTGAAATAGTTTGTCCATTATCAATGATAATTTATCATGACTGAAGTCGATTGGTGATTCAGTAATTTTTAACGAGTCATATGCAAGTCCATGTTTTAATCCACTTCTATTCAAATATCGTAATTTTGAGATGATTTAATAATTACTCCTTTATTTCAAGATAATATAAAAATCCTCGTTTGTCATTATTGTATTCTTAGTTTTTCTGTAACAGGTAAGGTCAACTTACTCAAACTGGTTCTAAGAATGAAAAAATATCTGTTGAATCCATTCCGTGTAAGCTATCAAAACAATTGAAATGTTAACCGCATCAAGATAATGGTAAGAAATGCGAACCGATAAAGAAAACTTTCAATTATTTCAGTTTACGACTGGTTTTGTATAGATTCATTCAGCACGTCGAGTGGTTTCGAAAATGCGGCGTATAGTACTGGTGCTATTGCTTTTTTTGGGCTTGAATATTGAGATTCGCTGCGATGCAAGCGAATATCCCATAGTGACGACCGCTTTAGGTAGAATTAAAGGTAGCACGGTGAAGTCCAGGTTAGGAAAAACCATTTATTCTTTCAGAGGTATTCGGTATGCGAAGCCTCCAGTTGAAAATTTGAGATTTATGGTAAGTTTTATTTATGACAACTAAGGGTGGTAGATATACAGGGCTATTCAAATTCGTTTCTGTACATGGGGATCTCGTAAACGATGAGAGATAGAGTGTCGGTTGAATTGTGGCAAAGTTGCGTAGTTTAGAGACCTATTCAATGATGTAAAAAAAAATCGAATATAGCTCTTTTGGTTNGAATTTGAATAGCCCTGTATATTTTATTGCGGGTTGAATGTCTGTTTAACCCTGAAGAGGTATAAGGCTATAGCAGGGTCCCAACAAATCATATAATAACATATAAAATACTAACCCCCAAAAATAAAGATGATCAAGTCAAGAATGTCTGTGGTTTGCAAGTTACCTGCGGATCACTGCCAAAAACTAGTAATTATATAGTAATCACCGGCCTTTTGAATGTACAATCTTTAATCATCAGGTGAGTATATGATTCTAGTTTCAGTTCAATTTCATCTATATAATGAGTGAACTATAATAGTTTGATCAGTGTATATGTAATAACTATGAACATTGATGGGGTCTCCTATTCATTTAATTGGCTTTTTGAATCAATTACTTTCAAAAATATTCTCATGAATTTCATTTGTACTATATGTAAATTACATCATACATCAACGAAATCTCTAGTTGCTTTAATAAGTATAAATTTTTACTATATGCCGATGACTTGAAAGTATTGACAGTAAAGGATTCATATGACAGCGGAGAAATTCAGGAGGACTTGAAGCGGCTGAAAAAATTCTGTGATGATAATGATTTGTTTCTCAATCCACAAAAATGCGTGTCAATCTCATTCTCCAG